GTCTGTATAAGCCACTATGTCGGTCCCCTTCATCTTGAGGTTCTAGATTTCCTCCTCGAGTTTCTGGATTTCGCCCCTAGGGCATTACTCCCTTGTCAGAAGGTCTTTCAGTGTGTTCCAGCCCATGGCGTTGGCTGTTACCAAAGAGAGTGATTTGACATGTCCATTCCACCATGTCAGGCCCCTTTCAGTGAAGGTGCAAGCAGCGAACTTTATCTTGCTTTCTTCGGGGCACGAGCACATCTCGAAGATGGCTTCAGTTCTTTCGATCCATTGGGTCAGTGCAATGATCCCTCCGGTCCCATTGAAGAATGTTGGTTTGCAGTTCATGAAATCCTTATAGGTACACCCCTGTGTACGTGGGTGGATTTCACCATGTCTAGAGTTGGTGCCCATTCCGGCTCCACTTGCATCACCAGAATTTTATTTGGGCCATAGCTGCGGTCACAGCTGTGGTTACAGCTGCCTGAAACATCACCGCATCAAACTGTTGCGGAGGAGGTGGTGGTGGTGGAGTTTGACTTGCAGGCGTGTTTCTGGTCGGACGCTTGCGAGGAGGCATCTTTTACTGAAAATTTGTAAAGATGATGACAATAGTGAGAAACAATTGTAAGCATGATGGGAGTGTTTCATGGACTAGATCGCCATAGTCCAACCATTAGTTAGAAATATACTTATAGATTCGAAAAACACATGAGTACAAACTTTCCCGATGATTAGATAACTGCTAATATTACTGGTATTACTGATGTAAAATGAGTTCAGAAAAGTTGACCTAACAGTAGGTCTTACATCAAACCATAAGGAAAATGTTGGCAGCTTAGAAGTCTAGTTAGAGTGCTTTCAAGTTTTAGGAATGTTTACAGACAATTGCTTTACCGAGCATAGAAAAGAAAAGGCTATTCTTTAATCAAAAGAGAAGGATGAGTTGACATCTTCTACTGGCGACGGGTATCCCTTGGGCGAACCCTAAGATCAGCCAGTTGGCGTACAACTTCCTGAAGATGTCGCTTATGCGCCCTCTGACGCACTCGGAGTTCCATGACTTCAGCTCGGGATGCAGCTAGTTGTTGCTGCAGAGCCTCATTGGTTCTCCTAGTCCTATCCATAGCTTCTTCGAGTTGGCGGATACGGACAGTGTTAAGGTTAGAGTTGGCATCAATTTCCACAACTCTGCCGACGGCTGCATGACTTTGTTCGACATTCCTAGCAATCCTACAGACCATGATGGGCAAGACTCGGTCAGCTGAACCTCCCTCGCTTATGTTGTAAAAGCTTCGATCTCCGTTGAAAGGTAAAGGCTGACCCTGTTCATCACTCCATCGATTCAAGGTTGTTGCCCACATGGGAGTGGGACCTTGAAATGTCGGACGGGGGTTGGAGTTTGGAGCTACTGGGGGTAGGTTGTTGACTTCTAGTTCGGAGTCGGAGCTATCCGAAAAGCCTTCTGCACGGTGATCATCCAAAGGAATCGGGTGATCGTCTTCTGGCTCCTCATCAAGCCATCCTCCAATGTCTTGGTTTGGATAGTACGGATCGTCGGGAAGGTGGAAGCCAGCCATGCTATCTACACGAGAATAGGGGAAAGAATAGTTAATAGACGTACTAATCTCAGATACTCATAAGATGGTCGTTATTAGTTAGGCCAATACTTGCATAGTGCATACCAATTACATGCGACCGAAACAGGATAGGCCTTCGAATAAGTGACCCTAACTCTAAATCCACAACCAAACGAGGAACAGGAAGTAAAGCAAAGATCACAGATTCTAAGTCTATAGCGCCTTAGTCACATGTAACCGTAGAGTATCCACTTAGCAATTATTGCTCTACTTGTAACGACCTTTTTAGTTCTCACATATGTAATTTATAGTAATGCAGAATACTCCTATAGTATTCTTGTTCTAATGCTCTTGTAGTAGTGTGGGTAAGTTTTTAGACTTGTTGCAACACCACAACCATTCTTAGGCACATGCTAGTCACTTCTCGGGAAATATAGTTGATCAGGCTACATCCCCCCAGATTTGACTATATGTCTCTAAGCCTAATCGTGCTGTCCAACAATCTCTTAATACTTTTGTTTTGTTCTAGTATGATACTGACCTTGGTATAACTGGATGTATATATATACTTAGTTAAATATTTATTATTTAAAAGTATATCTTGGTCAGAGTGTTTTTAATCCCGATGTGTTTATAGTTCGTATAACTTTTATGGGTTGATATACTTGATTCACTATAAACAATGCTCTGATACCAATCTGTCACACCCCAAAACCGGAACGACGGAATACGTTCTGGGGTGGAGGACGTCATGTACAGTATCATAACAATGCATAATAGTAAAGACAAGCAACAACATCTATTGCATTAATATAATAATTGTAATACAAGCGTGTTCTGTACAGTTTGTAAGACACCAAAAGTATAATCAAAATAAAAGATGAAGCTTTTGAGAAGATGGAGCACATACAAGACTCATCTTTTATTTTGATTATACTTTTGGTGTCTTACAAACTGTACAGAACACGCTTGTATTACATATTATATTTAATGCAATGGATGTTGTTGCTTGTCTTTACTATTATGCATTGTTATGATACTGTACATGACGTCCTCCACCCCAGAACATATTCCGCCGTTCCGGTTTTGGGGTGTGACAAATAGGCCATTATATTACAATAAGTGAAATGCCATCATAATGACAAAAAGAATTAGGATTACTTAATTCAAAATCTTATAGAATAAAAATGGAAGTTTGATTTAAAAAAAATTATAATTCACGTTTACTAGAGAGCCTATAATATGTAATACGAGTCTTAAAAAAATACAATGTGATATATTTTTGTAGAATCGAAGATACAATAAATATGTTCCATAAATGTATAAGAAATTGGGTTAATAAATTTTAAATCATAAAAAATAACATTCATAGTTGTATTAGTATTTTACTATATTCTTGTAAAATAAACATGATTGATTTAATTATATTGTCTGTTTATTAGATATATTTGTAGACCCAGTAGTATTTAATATTAATCTTGTAGAATGTAATGCCAAACATGTTATGTAACAAGAAGTGCAATATATTCTAATGATACCAAATGATAGTTTTATGATAAAATACGTATTTGGACTGATTATCAATATTTAATCTTTCATAAAAAAAAGACAAAACTGCAAATTTGGTCCTTGTGGTTTGCAAAAATCTTTGGATGGGGTGCAAAAAGTTTCAAACTTGCACAGAAGGTCCAAAAATCAATGGTTTTTTCGGGGGGTTTTTGTCCAAAAAAACTTGAAAAGACGATTATACCCTTTTAAATTTTTTTATTTTTTACAATTATTCTAATTCCATTTTAACTTAAAAATAAAAAGAAAAGAAATGTATTATCCCCCACCCACCCATACATTTCTCTCTCTCTCTCTTCTCTCTCTCTCTCTTCTATCTCTCTTCTCTCTCTTCTTCTCTCTCTCTCTCTCTCTTCTCTCTCTCTCTCTCTCTCTCTCTCTCTCCAACACACCAATCTACAACTTGGAAATAGCATTCCATCATCAAAATTGCAAAACCCCACCCACATAATTCCTGGTATGTTCACATAATTCATCTCCAGATCATTTGTAAAATCACTTAGAACTTGGATGAATCAAATTTCTTTCGAGAATAAATGTATTCAACTGAGTACACTACAACAACTTTTGAAATCAACAAGAGAGTGATGTAGAAGGGGAAACAAACTATGACTGAGATCGTCGTTTCTGAGAAATTGTGGCAAGACTGCTTCACGAAGGGGTTCAACTAATCATCTTCTCTGAGCGTTTGAAGATCTGGGTTTTCAATTTTTTCTCGATTTGTTGTGATTGTGTTCAGTCTAAACCATATTCCATTTGGGGGTTCCATAATTTCACTGCAATAAGACGGTTTGCATAGAAATTGAGGTTTGGATAGACTCAAGTGTATTGAGATTTTGAAGGATATATCATTGAAAAGAGGGTTTAATAGTGATTCCACTGTTGCTCCATGTTTTCATCCTTTTGGTTTGCGATCCCACCACTGCTACATGTCGGAGCTTTCACCACCGACACATGTCTAGAGCTATCGCCGGAGTTGGAGAACTCGTCAGTGGGTCTTGAATCCAGATATGAAACCATAGTAATAGTCGGAGAAGCACAACTCAATGGCACGAAGAACGAAGAAGGGGAATTTGACAATGGGTCTTTAATCGTCGGAGCTGGAGAAATCATATATAAGGTTTAGCAAAACTGGATTTTTTTCATTATGTGTGTGTAGAGTTTTGTGAGTGTGTGTTCTTGAGGAGATGATTTTTGAAGGTACAGAGAGAATGCAAAGTTCTCTAATAAAAATACACACACAAAGAGAGAGAGAGAGAGAGAGAGAGAGAGAGAGGAGAGAGAGAGAGAGAGAGAGAGGGAGAGAGAAGGATGAGAGAGGAGAGAGGAGTGAGGGGAGCAGATGAGCGAGGAGAGAGGAGAGAAAGTGGAGGGAGGGAGAAAGAGACGTAAGAGAGATAGAGTTTTACCCATTTTCTTATTATTATTATTATTATTGAAATGTTAATAAAATGTAAAAAATGTGAAAGTAAATAAATAAGGGTATAACCGTCTTTTAAAGACTTTTTGGACAAAAAACCCGGAAAAACCTTGATTTGGACATTCTGTGCAAGCTGAAAATTTTTTAGATCCCATACAAAGATTTTTGCAAACCACGACGACCAAATTTGCAGTTTTGTCTATAAAAAAACCCTCCAATTAAAAATGTTTTCATTGGGTCGAAATCCTTAAGAATACTTGGATTACAAAAATATTTTTTGGACAATTATGTAATTTTGTTTTTTTTAATACGATTGAATAAAAATAAAACATTGAGATGAGCAAAAGAAAAGCGACGGCAATCGGCCAGCTAAGACCATACATTGAGAGTTTGACACCCACCATGAAACAACGAATTCATTTTCTTGGAAAATTCCGTATTCATAACTGTTTATTTACATCGCTTTCCAAAGTCAAAGCAAATATACCCTTACAAACCAATCTTTAAATAACGTAATCAGTTTCTCTCTCCAAAATTAGGCAGACTCGAAGACTAAATCACCATATCATGGAAGGATAGCAACTTAATTTTCATCAATAATGGGAAATTGTATGAACGCATCTGCTGCTGCTACTGCAGATGCTAATTCCACCATCTCTGCTAATCAAAGCTCCAACACCAGACCTTCTTCCACTACAGGTTGGTTTAATTTCGCTTATTGATGCTATCATATCTTCAATTCGTAAATTTATCACATGGGTTTTGTCTGTTTCTTCATTTATTGCTCAAATAGGATGTTCAGATTTTAGATACGTTACCAATTCGGTAACTTCTATATTTGGGAATTTCTCACACAATCAAAATTCAAAACCCGCAGATTATTTGATTGTTTAATTGGGTTATTCAGGGACTTCGATTAGTACGAGTAATGGTGTTGGAACTTCAGCCACAAGTAGCAGCGCCGGCCACAGCCGGTTTTGGGAGGATACTTCACCAAACGGTGAAGTGTTGCCGGCGGCGGATTTGAAGGTGTACTCGTACTCAGATTTGAAATCTTGCACTCGAAATTTCAAATCCGATATGGTTTTGGGCGTTGGAGGTTTTGGAACAGTTTACAAGGGTTGGGTGGAGGAAAAGACAATGTTGCCCTCCAAACATGGTACAGGAATGATGGTTGCTATCAAGAAATTGAATCATGAAAGTGTTCAAGGCTTTGAAGAATGGCAGGTGTGTAATCTTTATTGCAACTTGTTAACTTTTGGGAACAAAATTTGCAGTTTTTTCCTATTTGTAGCGAAATCTATTTTAGGAAAGGTTAGCATTAAAAGGGTATTTGTTTCCCACAATGTTGTGTTAAAAATCTCAAAAAGATGTGATCTTCCGTCTTTTCTCTTATGAAGATGTGGAAACTCTTTCCATTTTTGGTAAAAAAGCATGATAATACTTTGAAAGACATTTTTAGGGTTAGGTTACATAGAAAGCCAAAGGCAACTAGGTTTCGTTATGATGAATTTGAAATAGATAGCAACATACACTTACTATTTTTTTTTTTCCTTTTAATTTTGTTACTTAACTATGAAAATCGATACTCAAAGTCAAAAGTCAAACCACTGACTTTACAAAGTTGATTATATTGGGTATTTTGACTGAAAAACCTATAAAATGTTGACGTGCCATTGATTTTAATAGTGGTTTTATGGAAGTTGGATGTGTTTTTGTAAAGACTTTTAGTAAACATCTGAAGTCCACTAATCAAATTAGAAAATAAGTGAAAAGTCTCATGTCCCTAACATTTTCCATTAAGTTCTTTTTTTGTTTCTCATTTCCTTTCTATTTTTATGTTATTGATAACTTTGGCGACAAACACGCCTTCACGGATGCCAGCGGAATTGGAATTCGAGATTCCATTCCATGGCGAGTTTGGTTGCCAAATGGATAGAATTCAGTTCCGTCGCAATCCTTCAAATTACATGTTGGATGGGGATAAATTCAATTCCATTGTTTTTTTTCTTATTAAAAGACCAAATTACCCTAAATGATATTAATTGAAATAAATAAAAAGAAAATTTCAATTATATATATTTACATAACTTTCTTGAAATAAATTGCAGTCAGAAGTGAACTTCTTGGGGCGACTTTCGCATCCTAACTTGGTGAAGCTTCTTGGGTATTGTAGGGAGGATAGAGACCTTCTACTTGTATATGAATTCATGCAAAAGGGAAGCTTGGAAAACCATCTTTTTAGACGTAAGGAATATGACATACGATGAAAAACCGAGGGCCATTTTCGTCAAATGCTGAAACTTGTTTGGTTTTGCAGGAAGTTCGGTGGTTGAACCGCTTTCTTGGGATCTTCGGCTTAAAATAGCCATCGGTGCGGCTCGGGGGCTAGCTTTCTTACACAGTTCGGATGATAATGTGATTTATAGAGATATTAAGGCCTCAAATATATTGCTTGATGGGGTAAGAGTTTTATAATTTATATAATCTCATACTTTATTTATATTAATTTTTACTTTTTCGTTTTTAGATTTTGATTGCATCTTTTTAAGTCCTCCGCTAACATTGATGTCAATTGAACAAAAATTTCAATCTTTGTCCTACCCAAAAAGGTGGAACATGGAATTGCTCTCGATCTCTCGTCTGTGCAAAAGATGTAAATGCCCTCCTCATCTTCATCATCGAAAATAACATCGAAAATAGCAGTCGAAAGCTTGTCGGTCTCATCCTGTACAACAAAAGACAACAAAAGACAGGATGAGACTATGCTGAACTGGACAAGCTTTCTAGGACTATTTCTCTGGGGATGAGGATGAGGAGGACATTTATGTCTTTTTCCCAAACAAGAGATCGCGAGTACCTGTCCCACCTTTTTTGTGTGGGACAAAAAGTTACTATGTTTGTCTCATTGACATTATTCCTGCAGTGCATGCCAAATGAAGTACAACATGTTTTGTCTCATCCTAAAATCTTTTTAGTAGTGTGTACCTTTTGCATAATAAAATATGAAATATTCCTCTTTTAGCCTCATGTTTGGAAAATATAGCATGCGATTTATCTTTTTTGTGGTATGGAGGTTGTCTTGATTATTGATGTTTTATCTTTTGAGTATTTGTAGAATTACAATGCAAAGTTATCGGATTTTGGATTGGCAAAATTGGGTCCTTCGGGTGGAATGTCACATGTAACAACAAGAGTCATGGGGACATACGGGTATGCTGCTCCTGAGTACATTGCTACAGGTAACCTCTCATTTCCTTTTATGTAATTTTTAACAACACAAATTTTATTTTAAAAAGTTCCGATTTTAGCTAAAATTGTAATGTTACCCATTTAACTGTTACCAAAATAATACACACAAACCAGAATTTACCTATTTTCAGTTATAATCAATACCCATACACAGATGCATGAGTCTTCAACTCATCGCATCTCGTTGGGCTATTGCTTTTAGAGTTATTGGCTAGTTTATAACTTTCAGTTTGACCCAAACTGAAAGTTATAAACTAGCCCAAACTAGTTTACAACTGAAAGTTATAAACTACTTTATAACTTTCAGTTATTGGGTGAGTGATACAAATGCTATCACCCCAAACTAAAAGTTATATACTAGCCATTAACACCGAATCAACTTAAAAGTTATATATTTATTCAAAAATTTCAGGTCATTTATATGTGAAGAGTGACGTGTACGGATTCGGTGTCGTGTTACTTGAGATGATGTCTGGATTACGGGCACTTGACACAAAACGCCCGGGCCCACAACACAACCTAGTGGAATGGGCGAAACCAATGCTCCCAAATAGAAAGAAAATAAAAACAATAATGGATGCAAGAATAGAAGGCCAATATTCAAGTAAAGCAGCAATGTTATTTGCCCAACTTGCCCTTCATTGCCTTGAAGCCGAACCCCGAAAACGGCCTTCCATGAAAGAAGTCACGGAATCCCTCGAGCAGATAAATTCTATGAAGCTTAAGTCCAAAGGAAAGGCCTAAAATTTTACTCATTCATCCTATTTTTATAGAATTTTTTTTTGTAGCATTTTGGGTTTTTTGTATTATTTATTTTTGGAAATTTGCATGTTTTTTGTCTTTTACCTGAAAAGCTAATGCAGATTTTTTTTTTCTTGCGGAAAAACCACTATTAATTTAATTTTTTTATTTTTCATTTAAATCGTTATTTGCCTACTAAAATTGGTTAGCATGTTACAATAATTTGACCTAGGTATATCACACTAGATTGTTTTAGACTGTTAACCGATTTTAGTAGGTAAATAACGACTTAAATGAAAAACTTAAAAAATCTAAATTATCAATGGTTTTTCTGCAAAAAACAAATAAATTCATAATGGCTTTTTCAGGTAAAGACGGAAAATATAAGGGCTATTTTGAAATTTGTCCATTATTTTATAGCCATGATCATAGAGGGAATTGAACACCCAAAACTGTATCGTTTTGGGTGTTGTCTCAGGAAAACTACATAGATAGTTGTTGTGTTGTGTTTTTTTTTTTTTTGGGTCCTCAGTTGTTTGTTGTTTTGGGAGTTTCTTTGTATATGTTTTCTTGTGAATGATTATATATATGTGGTTATTACGAGTGCGCCTGTTGTGAATAGAATTATATGGTATTTTGGTGATGCATTGTAGTCTTGTCTAACTTGGTAGTGTTACTAAATTTCAATTTTTTTTTTTTTTTTTTTTTTTTTTTTGACAACGAACTATTCCAATTTCGACTTGTTCAGTTTAGATTGTTACAAATTATTTACAAAGTCTAATTATTAATTTGTATGACCTTGCCAACATGGCATACAAGATGTATAAACGTCAGATGGAGAAAAAAATAATCAATCAGATGCAAAAAAAATATGGATTATACAAAAGATGGATTATACGAGGAGGAATCAGAGATATTAAGGTGGAGAATAAGTTGAGAAGAATAGGGGGAGAAAAAAATATAATTCAAAGCTTTAACGATTTATGAAGCTAGTTAATAGTTATGGATATAGTTGTGAAGGCAGATAAGTTCATAAAATTACTAAGACGCCCAACAGTGAAACATTGAATACTCTCAAAAGTCGATTCCATAGTTTAGAGATTTCATTATTTCAAGGGAAGATTAAGAGCTTCACGATTCTAAGTTACTATAGTATATGTATTATGATTTATACCCATACACTCATATTTCATTCCGAATGCCTAACTTGCTATTTGATGGATAAAAATGATGCATGAAATGAAGAAATTTAGGGGGAGTTTGTTGGTCAAAATTTATTAAAGCACTCAAAGTATGTTCCCTATTTTTGGTTCATTCAAACAAAGCCCATTTTCCAGTCAAAGGTCTTGCTATAGATGAGAAATTCTAGAATAATATTTGATAATAAGCCAACTAAACGTAAAAAGTAAAAACATACGAGTTGCAAAGACTTTTAAATGATTCCCACTTTATAATTGCTTCTACTTTTCCGGGTCAACCTTGATACATTTGTTGTTAACCGTGTGACCCATGAACTACACCTCTCAAATAATAATAATAATAAAATTCTTAAAAAATTCCACATAAAGCGTTTCTTTATTCAACACCTCCAAAACTTCTTGCAATTGTGTTTCGTGTTCTTCCTCGGTTTTCATATAGGTTGAGATATCATTAACAATACAATGATTAAACAATTGAAAATCCGTTTATTGATCCCATTTATTAGATTTATAAAATTTACTACTGATTAACTTGAATAACATCACTAGAAACTCATAAAGATCATATATCATCCTCAAGGAAAATTTATTCGCATCTTCACCCACGGTTAAATTGACAACACATGGACAAAAGATCAACTTTGAAATTGAAACCAACTCCATATAACTGAGAAAAGAGGCCCTTAATCCGATGGAAGAGGATATCTATTTTTCATCATTTGCTTTATTTAATGCTCTATAATCAATTTACATCCGAACAAGATATTTGTTTTTCATCATTTGCTTTAGGGAATATGACTTATTAAGGTAATTAACTTTTCGGTTTGTTCACATCTGGGTAACTATCTTTTTTTTGTACACATCTAGGTAACAAACTTGTTGGAGATGTTCACATATGACCATTATGACCTGCTGTAGCAGGTTACATCCTAGATGTGGACATTTTTAACAAGTTCGTTACCTAGATGTGTACAAAAAAATAGTTACCCAAATATGAAAAAAATGAAAAGTAAGAGTAATTACACGAATGGTCCCTGTGGTTTGGGGGAATTTGTGTTTTTAGTCCCTAACTTATTTTTTTAAACTCGGATGGTCCCTACTATTTATTTTTGTTGCGTGTTTGGTCCCTATCTTACCTAAAAATACTATTATGCCATTATTAGTTTATTTTTTTAATTAATTTTCTTATTTATGTATTTATTCTTTATATATTTAAAAAAAAAATTAATAGACACCACATATCTGTATCTCCTCACCATCCCACTAAAGATGAAGAGACAGTGAGTTATGATGTTGGTTCGCCAAAGTTAAATGACCAAAAAAAGAAGGATGGTGAAGACGTCGATGTCACTAAAGATGGAAAAGAAATAGAAGTTGAGGAGGATGAGAGATGGGATGGTGACTGATGAGACCCAAATTAAATTTCTCAAATGTGGTTTCAGGTTTACGGTGAGGAGATACATGTGTTGGATTAGGTGTCTAAGCCCATAACTATAATTGGTATGTACTTGAATTGATAGCAGCACAATCCTTTTGGGTTGCCCTCAACCTAGCAACTGGACAAGGAAATTATGAAATGAGAGATATTAATTTATAAGATTAATGAACTAATATAAATGATTTATTAATATGTTAAAAGGTTAATATATTAATTAGAAATCATTATGTTTAATTAATAGTTAGCCATAAATTAATCAGAATTAATTTTGGGGTTAAAAGTATTAATTATAAAGTGCAGGGACTAGTTTGCAATTATCTAATAGTTGAGTGGAAGGATCCAGAACCTCCTTGGAAGGAGGTGGACGAAATCTATAGGGGAAACCCTAAGGATTTCGTCCAAGGGGCTTTGGATAAGTCCTTTGGGTTAGCTTAGGCCCTAAGCAAAGGAGTATTAGGGTTTTCCCTAAACCCTAAATCCCTCAGCTATATAAAGAGCCTCCCAACTCACAATTTCGGCCACTCCTACCTTGGAAGAAACCCTAGGCCAAAAATTGCATACCCTACCCTCTCTCCTTCAAGTTTCCTTCTTGCTAGTTCTTTGGGTGTGATTCCATTAGAGGCATTACATTTGTGGTGCTAAGCTTCCAAGAAGATCAAGATCAAGATCAAGATCAAGAGGATTGTCAATTGTTTGCTATAACAATTGAAAGGTATGTATCTCTTAAACCCTAGTTTGTTAATTTCGAAATTAGCCTCTCTCCACTAGGGTTCTTGTTTTGCAATTCAAAGTTATATGTTCAATAGTTAAAACATAGATCCAAAGTAGGTTGCATGTGAACTTAGGAATTGTTTTCTAGTTTATTTGTTTCACCTAAAACCCATCAGTGGTATCAGAGCCATTGTTTGATTTAAATTGAATTGCTATAATAGTTGAATTGCAAATTAGGGTTTATTGCCATTAAACCCTAAAGGCCAAAAATTTTCGATTTTAGGGTTTTGGTTCAAAGGGTTTTCGAAAACCCTAGCCTCCATGAACCCTAATTGAAATTAGGGTTAGGATTTTGAAAACCCTAGCCTCCTCCCTTAAAATTTCGAAATATGCTAGCCCCTTTTAGGGTTTCTTTGTTTTGGATAATAGTTGCCTTATTGGATAATGAGAAAAATAAGGAAATTATCCTATCCCCATATTTTCTAAATCTAGAAGGGATATGGATTAGGATTAAATTAATTGTTTAATTTAATTAGATAATCCTTGCAAGATTTAATAAATTAGTTAAAAGTTAATTAATAGATAAATATTAAATCTAGTTATTTGGTTTATTTTTAAATTTAAAATTAATGGCTTAATTTTCGAAATTTATATATAAACCCTAAAGTTTTAAAAGGTTTAAAACACACCCTATATATATTATAATTAAAAGTTAAATATTATATATGTATAAGAATATGGTCAGTCAAATCGCTAGTATGCCTCATTCACGAAGCTAGTCTATAAGGGGGTATAAGGAAACTGCCTATAAAATGGTAGTTGAATGGGTGTCCACTCTCACCCACCGCTTCCTTGATTAGTGGAGGGTCGTTAGCAGAACGGGTTTGATAGGACAACTACATCTCATTAAAAGTATAATGTTATTAAAGAAAGTACTAGAACATTATTTTACAAAATCCCAAACTCTAGTTACTTTAGAAAAAATGTAAAAGTATGTTAATCCATGAAATTGCACATTATGCTTATTGGTCGTTAGTGGAGCGTGTGGGTTAACCAGCACACTAAAAGGCACTATAAAGAGTAGTAATGGGTATCTCATAATTGTCATTTTGATGGAGCGTGTGTGGTTTACCAGCACATCAATAGTTAATGATAAAGACAATAAGGTTACCAAGCACATTTGCATGGTTATTCACATCTTGTTTGTGATCCTCGGCATCCCAGTCACAAATAGAAGAGCATCATGAGATTAAAACATGCCCTTGAATAGTTTCAATGTATCTCAAAGAATTAGGAATTTCACTTCGTTATTTCGTCTAATGGTGGAATTGGTGAATCGTCATTCACCTACCTTTATGAATTTACACTTGGATCTCGGCAATCCCATTTCTAAGTTGTGAATCTTAATAGTTGGATCCTAACTTGATATTATATCTTTGGGTTATTATATTAAGGTATCTTGAAATCTAACTAAAACTTTCTTTTCTTTTCAGATGTCTACTCCTGAAAAACACTTCTGCTTCATCCTCCTCCAACCACAACTTCTCTTTGCTCAACATTTGCTCCAAAGTCGTTATGGGATGGCTCTAACCTATAACGCTGGATGCGTAACATCAAGATGATGCTCGATTTGAGGACAAAGAATATGTCCTTGAAAAGGAGCTAAAGAGCTTGATGAGTCTAAAACTACTCCTGAAGAATATGCTGCCTACAAGAAAACATTACGATGATGCTACCAAAGTGGCATGCATCATGGTGGCAACCATGTCCCCAGAACTGCAGAGGTTACTATGAGGACTACTGGCCTTTTGAGATGAACAAGGACCTTATGGAAAAAGTACCATAAGCGAGCTCGTCAAGAAAATTTGAAGTAGTCAAGTCACTCATGGCTTGCAAGATGAAAGAAGGGGAGTCGGTTGTGTCTCAATGTGCAAGAATGCAACGCTACATAAGGTTTGGTCAAGCTCAACATTCACTTTGATGAGGAATTGGCCATTGACATGGTCTTAAACTCACTAACCTGATTGTTCTGGTCAGTTTATTCTAACTTACCATTTGAACAACCACTGAGCCGACACTGGCCCAATTGCGCAAAACTTATTGCAGACAGCTGAAGCAGGGGATGAAGGGTAAAAGTATAGCCTCCACTCCTGCACAGTGCCCTGTCTGGCATTAGACAGGGAAAGGGGCAAAAAGAGGAAAGGTCCTCCTA